TACTCTGTCCTCGTGTGCTGGTTTTAATTTTTTCTGAGCCTAAAGCAGAACAGTTCATTTTAAGGGAACACAAACTGTCTCAGGCTGAGTACAACAGGATGCTCTCCTCTGTGTTGTGCATGAACTGAGAGAACAACTCAACTTGAAGCTTGACGCTCCCTGAGGAGGGACTGAAAGTTCACACTGACCCACAGAAAAATGATGGTTGACATGTTTTTGTCAGTTTAACATCATATAAACACGTTGATCTCTCACAGTCTGGTCGTAGATTATTGTTAAATCTTCTTTCTGACACAGTCTGTGCAATGCAAAATACAGCAATGTAAAGTTTTTTTATTAAAAAGTGTTACAGTCACCCGTAATTAAATCATTTAGACACACTAGTCCCTCGATTATTGCGGATCCACACACCTTCGCAATAGGTGAAAAGACGCAAAGTAGGAACGTTATATTTATTTTAGTATTTGTATATTTTAAGGCTTTATAAACCCTTCCCACACTTGCAATGTTCTAAACTCTTAAACCTATGTCATTTTAACAACATATGTATATGTACTGTACAGTACTGCAAAATTTTATAAGGGTACTCACCAGCCTTGGTCCGGTTCTGGTCGGCTCTCTGCAGCCGTTGAACACCAGATGCTTTTAGAGAGAGCCGGACCTTCGGAGAGCCAGTACAATACCACACGGTGGTCTCCATCAAGTCCAAATAATCCAGAGGGATCTGGATGACAAAGTCTGGGGGAGCTCCGGAGAAAACACCAGACCTCCAAACAACACAGCCCCGCTTAAGAGGCTTCATGGGCTGGCAAGCAGCGCTCAAACTGACCGATGAGGCTGGAAGTAGTTCTGGTCCAATTCCCGGTCGGTTCCGTACGGCTCTCTGCATCCACTGAGCATTGACGTCACAAGGACCAATCTTTTTAGTCAGGTTTGGATCGGATCAAAACTTTCCCTACATTTCAGCAGAAAGCAGCAGCTGGAAGCACTGTTGGTTTCTGGGTAATGTAGTTCTTTGACTGGCCTTGCAGCGTAGGCTTATTGAAAGCAAACCACAAAATAGCGGCACCAGTCTGAAGTTTTTCTTTCGTTATCTTTTTATCTCGTACCGTCCCAATCACGCGAGTAATATTAAAGTTAATCATGGAAATACCGTGAAAGAGCGAGTCCGTGAAAGTCAAACCGTGAAGTAGCAAAGGACTACTGTACGTCAAAACTAGCCACAAAGAATGATGCCCCCTGGTGGCTGGCGGCAGTTTTTAAGTCCCGCCCCTTCATGTAAATGAGTCAGGCATTTTTCTGACTGAAGAATAAAAACATGTTCAGACAACTCTTCACTTTTGTCGATTCTTCTTCTACCTTACTGCTCAAATACGCATCAATCTGACGTTTTGACTTTAATCCTAAACAGCAGGAGAAGGTGGAGATGCTACGATGTGAGAAAGGTTTGAGACTGAAGTTGGTTTGAGACGTCAGCAGCCCACATTGGTTTTCGCTTCACTCCATCTAGCTATTAGCTCATCACTTCAGTCAGAAGTGAACTATTTCTTCAAGCTGAGGTCATTCAAAGAGCCATCTACAGCAGGTAAGATATTAGCTGTTAATAACACTTCCACAGAACTCCACTTTAAAAGATCTGAAGTATCACTCTGAGGTAACCACTTAAATTATTATGTTCCACCATAATCTGGGATTTATTTCACTTTGTCACATTTTTACATCTAATATCCTCTGTAGAGTTTTAATCAGGTATCTATTGTCTGATTGTTTCTAAATCTTTCTCACACCGAAGATCTGTTTTTCGGCGTGTGGAATTTTACTACCATTTCAACAATTCACACATCAAAGCATTTAGCTCATTCAGGACATTCCTGCTGTGACTTTTGGCTCATTTCAGCTTTATTTCAGCCCTTTCAGCTACTTCTTTGTGCTAATTTCACATTTCTTCAGCTTATTTCTGTTGCTTTTCTGCTCATTTCTGACCGTTTGTAATCTATTCAGCCTCTCTCTGCCTATTTCAGCTTATTCCGCACATTTCTGCTGCTTTTCTTTTCATGTTTTCAACAAACGTCAGCTGTTCAAGTTCAACTCACACTAGCAGTTCAGCCGTTAAACATTTCCAGCAGCTTTCAGCTAAAATCATTCAGCGTCTCTGCAGGAAATGCAGTTTCCTCTAGTTTTTAAATGTCTCTCATTTGAAACAGAGCTGTACATTCTTGGTCCGGTAACGCGTCAGACTGACAGCCTGTTCTTTTTTCTTGCAGCTGAGCCAGCGGGAGTTTTGGAGGGCTTCAGGAATTCAAGGGAAGGGCGGACTCCTGAGGGTCTGAAGGGGAGTTCCTCGTCCTTCGCCCTGCAGAACTTGGGAGTTTTGTCTCTTTCTCCTCATTATTAGCATGCAGCTGCGTGTGATCAGACCTCAGCCACATGTTGCATCAAAGTAAAAGCAGCTAAAACAGGTTAATGAGGCAAACCTGCTTCCTGCGTTTGGATCAAGCAGCTGTTTTGTTTCCAGAACCTGAGGATTCTGTGTGAGAACGTGAAGGAAGGGTCCACTAACAGAGGGGTTCTGCTCAGCAAGGTGAGAGAGTCCATCTGCAGAGCTGCAGGACACGTTTGACCTCTGAGACGACCTCTGTCTGCGAGCGGTTATATTCCTCTGACTTTTTATGTTTTAAACATGTTCGTGTTGCTTTTTCTGCTTATTCTGAAGTCTAAACACACGATTTGTGTTAAAGCTCTTATGTAAGGAGCCGTGTAAAACACACGAGGAGTCCTCCTGGGAACATCAGCTGTGTGCTTCTGATTAAAGATGGGATGAGAGAAAACAGGCTGCAGCTGGGAACATCCACACAGGGCCCAGAAGAACCACGATCTGACCCGGACTCAACATTTTGTTTAGACAAACAAAGAAACGTGAATAAACTGAAGTACAGCCCTTCTGACTGGATGTCCCTAGAGTTCTGGTGGGTTCTGGTGTTCAGAACATCCCGGTGATGCACACAGAACCACAGGGTTTGTCTTAAATTTGTCTAAAGGGGAATATTTTTGGGAGACGTTTTATTGAAATTAGAAAGTATGTTCAAGTAACGGCCTGAGAGAACACCAGCTGATTGTACAGGAAGTGGGAACAATGACGAACAATTAATATCTTACCTGCTCTAGATAGCTTTTTGAACCTCCTCCGTTTTGAAGAAATTGAGTTTAATTTGGACCGGGTCAATGAGCTAATGGCTAGTCAGCGCAAGATTAGATTGCTGCCAAATTTAAAACAGTCTCACAAATTTATCTCAGTTTTAGTCAAACATTGTTTTGTTATTTTAACGTGGCACAATTATTCCAACAGGAATACGATATTTGAGCTACTCCGGGCTGCATCAAAGTGCTACAGCTAGCTGCAGAATTTTATTTGACTACTGATGAAATTAAAGACAGTTAAAAGATTTATTGCATGAACCAGCACGACATTTTTAAGGGTACCACTCTAACAAGAATAATACCCTAATGAATGACTAATACATAGTTAATAATGCAGTTATTTAGTTTATAAACACCTAATTAACTATCAACAAGCAGTTATGGTGCATTAGATACAAACGTTACATTTATCTGCACCTTCATTCTCACTGTTTACTGCTTTCTTAATGTAGGTTTTAAATATTGAACCAGCTGCGCACCGTGAGCAGTTTGTGGATGCAAAGTTTGTTTTGATAGAAAGAGAAATGAAATTTTAAAATATTTTTCTGATTGGAATAATAATGCTTTAAAAAGTACAAACTCACGATTACCCTCTTTATAAATCGTAATTATTATTCCTATTTTTTTGTTTACCCTTTTAAAAATTGGTTTTTAAAATGTTAACGTTGGTCTTAGCCCCAGTCAGACTAGCCATTAGCTCATCAGTCCGGACAGAAACAAACTCTATTTTGTCCAAACTGAAGTATTTCAAAGAGCTATCTACAACAGGTAAGATATTTATTGTTCTTAATTTTTTTTTGAGTCAGTAAATCTGAACTATCCCTTTAACCCTTATTATTTAAACCCTTCAGCAGAGACGGTTTTATCCCACAGATATCTGCTGAGCCAGGAGCAATATTTTACTGACAGTGTCTGTCATTTATATATAAATACTGTAATATTATTTAAACAAATATTTATTTTCTGTTTAAACTACCAAAGAAATGCAACTGTGTCTTTTGTTGTTTTTATTTTTTTGTGAGAAGGAAACATCACACATAATTACAGCCAAACCTGTCTGTCTCATCCATCCATCCATTTTCTTTACCCGTTTATTCCATTTTTTGGGGCACGGGGGTCACTGGTGCCCATGTCCAGCAATCACTGTGCGAGGGGCGGGGTACACCCTGACCCTGGACAGGTCGCAAGTCCATCACAGGGCCATCACCTGTCTGTCTGTTAGCAAAATATCTCATGATCCACTGGACAGATTTTAATGAGACTCTCAGAAGTTATTATTGGGATGTATGTCTACAAATGTTTAACATTTGAAGTCAAGGCAGTTCAAGATGGCTGTCACAGTTTATCATCTTCAGCCAAGAAAAAAAACATCAATAACTCGGTCAAATAAAGATTCTGAGCTAAAGTTCGACATGGTTGCTGGGAGTCATCCTCCACACATCACAAATCTCACAAGATCTTGAGTTTGAGCTCAACATTATTTGAAAGTTTGACCGAAGCAGCCCTAACTCTGTCTCTGCTCCTCAGAAGATGTGTTTAGTCCAAAACTTTAAAAGGCGATACACATTCCTTTAAAGATTTCAACTCAAAAAGCTATTTTAATCATATTTATTTCTTGTTCTGTGCTGCATTTGAGTATAAAATGTTCAAACTGACATGATTTCCAGTTATAATTCTTGGGAATCTAATAAGAAATCAGACATTTGCAGGTTTTAACAGCAGAAATGAGCTAAAAACAAAGTTTTACCATTTTTGTACTTCAAGTAATGAAGCATGTCTCTGCTGTTATTTTAGGGGCAGTTATGTTGGGAGTCCTCCTTGTCCTCCTGTCCCTCTCCTCTGTGGTCTGGGCGCCCCCTCCCAGTGTTCCTCCTGACCCCTGCAGACAATGCTGTGACCACCAGGGGGCAGCAGAGAGCAGCAGAGGCCCAGAGATCCGCACCTACATCAACATGACCATTTTGAAAGGTACCCAACGTGTTTACAGCTTTTTAAACTAAATCTTGAAGTCACTTAAAGTTTAAAATGAAAAGGGTTCAACGAAGGAGTCTCCTCTGCTCCTGCAGGTGTGTCTGTGGATTTTAGGAGAATTAATCCTGTTTAGTCTGGGCTGATCGTGAAGTCATCCAGGTCGTAGTTCCACTGAGCCAAGATCCACAAAACCAAATCTTGTCTCTGATTAACTTTCTGCTTGGGAGACATAACCAGCCTCAGGAGGTCGAGTTGGCCTCGTTAAACCAAAATAACATCTGGTTTGTGTTTTGCATAAATGTCCCTGAAGGTCTGAGACCACTGAAGGACTCCCCGACTTTAAAGATGGTTCTGGTTTTTCCTACAAGATCCAAAGATTAGAACTTTATCTTTAATGTTATCAGTGGCAATACAAAATACAGCCCACCTAGTACTTACCCTAAGTACCAGGTTTGCTTTGGTAACTACAGGATGTACCTGGCATTTACTGGACACTAACCTAATATTTATCTGATAATTACATGGGTATAGACCATCTATGTACAAGATCTGTATCTAGTACTTAAAGTGTACAGGTTAGTATTAGTGTAAATACCTATTACTCACCTGGGTACACACCATGTATGTAACAGATAAGTACCAGGTTAATAACTAGTAAATACTAAGCACCTACCAGCTCAGTAACAGATGTGTACTCTGTAGGTAAAAGGTACACACCAGGTAAAAAATAAAGCTGGTGTATACCCTGGACTTTGTAAGTAAGTAGCAGGTGCAAACCCTGTACATCTCAGGTATGTACTCACTATATACTTGGCTACTTTCCAAATAAACAAGTAGCAATAACACTAAAGTTACTAACCTGGTACGTATTTAGTACTTACCGGGTACACATGTACCTGATACTTATTGGGTACTAACCTGGTATGTAAAGGTACTTTACTTGGTACACACATTTTGCGCACGTGGTACTTTTGGATTATGTACCTAGCACTTACCAGTTTACTTAACTTTTACTTACCAGTTGTGTATTTGGTTTTTTTTACCTGGTACTTACCTTGTATTACACATAATAGTATTTGGTACCCCAGTAAGTACAGGGTAACAAGTTACTTAATAGTACAGCCCAGTTCCTGTAGGCACCCTGTCAGTAAGTACCTGCTACTTGGTGGGAACAAATACTTACAGGGTATGTGCCCACTACCCAGTACCCGGTTATTAAGTATGTGATGCTAACCTGGTATGTAAAAGGTACTTACTTGGTACATACCAAGTATTTACAGATTATGTACCTTTCACTTACCTGGTACCTACTCTTTAACGACTTGGTACATACCTGGTATTCCTTGTGTAAGTACATGGTACCTACAGAGTTCCGACCCAGTCAGTACAGGGTAACACACGGCGGGAACATCCCTGGTAGGTACCTGGTACATAAGTATAACTACCATATTTTCTTTCAGGGGACAAAGGAGATCGTGGAGACCGAGGGACTCCAGGTAAAACTGGACAGGAAGGCCCCCCAGGGTTCCAGGGCCCCGAGGGGTCAAAGGGCAGCAAGGGTCAGGCAGGTCCCTCAGGAGACCCCTGCAAAGTCCAGCACGCTGCCTTCTCAGTGGCCCGCCGTAAATCCCTCCACAGCAGCGACGCCCACCAGGCGCTGATCTTCGACACGGTCTTTGTGAACCTGGACGAGCACTTCGACATGTTCCAGGGCAAGTTCCTCTGCCGGATCCCGGGGGTCTACTTCTTCAACGTCAACATCCACACGTGGAACTTCAAGGAGACGTACGTTCACATCATGCAGAACGAGACGGAGCGGGCCATCGTTTACGCGCAGCCCAGCGACCGCTCCATCATGCAGAGCCAGAGCCTGATGTTGGCGCTGCAGCTGGAGGACCAGGTGTGGGTCCGCCTCTACAAGAGGGAGCGGGAGAACGCCATCTACAGCGACGACGTTGACGTCTACATTACGTTCAACGGATACCTCATCAAACCCACGGAGGAATGAGAGAAACCGAGCCAAAAGACGAACGTTAACCCAATAAACACAAATTATGATTCCTTACATTTTACTTTTGAAAAAGTTATTGGGGGCAAGGCAGCCACCTATTATTATCCACCTGAAGAGTCTTGATCTTCAACTTTAATGCAGCCGAACCGCAATGTGTACCCGCACAAATGTTATATCAAAACAACCGACTCGGCGCCATGATGCGTATTATCACTTTTATTGGTGTTTTGAGTTACCATGGCGTCGTAATGAACAAAGACGCCATTTTTCTCATTGAAAAACACTGACAGAACTTTTCACAGCCTCTAAACGGCCACAGTGAGGTCACATGACCAAGACTGGAGGTTGATCAAAACGCCGATTAACTTTTGGAGCCATGTTGGTTCAAGATGGCTGCCACCCACAGCTACCTTAGAAAACACAGACTTGGCTATAACTCAGTCATTCTTGGAGATACTGAGATGAAATTTGTTCCGGTCGTAGCTGAGAGTGAGTTGTTATACAAATTAATGCAAATTAAAAATCCAAGATGGCCGGCTTCGCTAAAACGGAAAAAAATATGATAACTCAGATATTTTAAGAGATACTGGGCTGAAATTTGGTGTGGTCATATATGACAGCAACACACAACACATGCTGAATTCAAATCTAAAAATTCAAGATGGCCGCCAATGCTAAATTCAAAATGGATATAACTCAGAGGTTTTTACAGCTATTCATCTGAAGTTTGGTGTAGAGGTAGCTGAGAACAATCCCAAATAAACTGAATCCAAATTAAAAAAGTTCAAGATGGCCACCATACCTTAAAAAATAAATTAAAGGCTATAACTGATGGACTTTTTGTCATATTGAGCTGAAATTTATTATTTGCCGAGCGCAAACTCCGAAACACAGTACTGTCAAATCAAGTTTCTCCAGGAACTTAGTTTGTGTTTTTGCACCAACTGTTAAGGCCTGAACAGAAAGTGGCTGCAGTGAAACTTGGAAACAAGACTTCATGGTGTGACAGATACTGGGTTTACTATAAGACAATGTTGGCTTTTGCTGCAGGAATGTTCAAATCAAAGATCATTTGAAACAATGTTGGAACCAAAACACTCAATATTTTTAACTTTTAATCAATTAGAAGTTCTGTTTGCTGAGTAGATGCTCTTTGGGGAACTTGGACTTTTTTACTAAGAAGACTTTTTATTTCTGATGTAAAATCAGAAGCTTTAATGTTCCCAGAAGCCAGTGAAAGCAGCAAAACAACAACAAATTATGAAACGTAACGATGAGCCGTGAGTTTATGACAGGAGCAGATTAAATGGTTGTTTTAAATAAAAATAAAAAAAGGGGTTTGTATAAAAATGCTCAGGTAGAATGACTGAACTAAAGACGGGTTAAGAGCAGCTAAAAGAAAAACAAAACTTTGAAATCCTTGTACCAAGGACCAATTTAAAATATAACAAGAAAGTTTGGCAGAAAGTTAAAAATAATAAATAAAAATAATTGATTTGACTTAAGACTTTTGCACAGTACAGGGTAGGAAACTCTGGTTACGCAGGAAACTAAAAGCAGTAAACATAAATGTATTATTTACAATATTGATATGGGTGTAATACAAACAAATGTGTTAAACTACAACTATAATACAGGTCATAACATAAGTGAAATTATATAGTCATCAGTGATGACCTGTTAGTGGTTGTATTATTATATTTACAATAACAATCATTGAACTTTTCTTTGAAAAACTTACACCCTGTAACTGTAAAAACAAGATAATTATCTAAAATTAAACATTTGGCTCTCAATCAGAAATATGTTGGATTCAAACTGTCCAAAGTTTCTGTTCTAGTTTATCATTATGACCACTAGAGGGCAGTAAAACATCAACATTAATAATTTGGTTAATTTTATTTCTAAATGCCAATAATCTGAAGTTGTTTATGTGTTTGTTTGTTTTTTCACTTTAGGTTGTTTTGCTCCATTAAATATTCTAATTTGTTCATTTTCAGCCAAAAGACCCGGGCAGTCAGTCATAGTGAGTGACAGAAGTTGACATTTGACATCATGTGTCACGGGTTACGTTTTAGAGCTGAACACCCGTTTCACTTGAGAAGAAATACACCGGTGTGGTGCTTTTGTCCTGCTCTCCAGCAGACTTTGATTCTGCTCAAGTTCAAACATTTTGCTGATGCATGTTTATCCTCTTCTTTTGGCTGCCATCTTTAGGAGGCGACACAGCTGATCATCTATCCCAGCATCCTCCTCTGTCACATCACCTCTCTACATCCATGACCCTTCTCTGGGTTCTTCTGATTTATATCCACCATGTCTCCTCTGCACATCTTCAAGTTCTCTCAATGGAGTGTACCTCACCCTCTCCAGACTCTCTTCCACCTGCTCCCACTACCGATCATCTTGCTAATGCCTGAACCCACCAAGAACGTGCAGCCTATTTATTTACTTCATGTCCTTAGGACCACCGATTTAAAGAGACAGAGTTAAAATGGCAATCTTTATTATTTCTTGGATGAACAGCAGATCACGTTATGACATGAAACTGAAAAGATATTTACACATTTCAGGACAAACAAACGAAATATCTGCTGTGTCGTTAGCGTGTAGCTTGTACGAGGTCAGAATGTGAAACATTTGGTGACAAGTGAAAGGGACAAACATGAACTCAGCTTTATTTAAGGCCACGCAGCCCTCGGAGACAGAGCACTCGCTTGTAAAAAGCAACATTTTCTTATTCCAATAAATAAACAGTTCCTTTTATTTTTTCAAAAAGCCACTCTATTGCACATTTCTATTAGTTTGCATTCAAACATAAGTCAAGAAAACAATTTCCCACACTGAAAAAAACACAAGCGGACTCACGATACAAACAGTGAGATGTTGATTGAAACCATCGAACAGTCAACAACCGAATGACTCAACTTTTATATTTAGTTATTTTTACTCCACAATGATCCAAAACTTCCAACAACAAAAAAAGTATTTGAGACAACACGAGCACATCTGTGAGATTTGTGACTTCATTCTGAGCCACCGAGAAATCCTGCGAGGAGGATAATCCCTTGAACACAACACAAGATTTAGATGAAACGTTCACGGCCCTTCTCAAGGCGTCACTTTTAAATTGGTCCCAGTAAACATCAATGTGGGACAAGCACGTCCCAGAATATCCAACTGCTGTGGTTCGTACAGGTTTGAGTACAAATCAAGTCCTACAAAAATACTTTTTGTGTTTGCAGTGTAAACTTTTGCAACCAAAGGCACTTTCTTCTCTTCCTGTTTTCCCCTCAAAGGAGAAGCATCCCCTCCACGTCCCTTTAATCTAATAGTCTCAGTTTGCACCAGATTTAGAGGATTTTCCTAAAATGCTAACATGAAACCAGCTTGGATGCATCGTCAGGGTTGTGCAACAGAAATGCACCATTTGCTGGTTTGAAGAAATGAGGCTACGACTCAAAACCACGCTCATGGTGCTGTGGGGGAGAGAAACGACGCTAGTCCTGTTTGTAGCTTCAGTTTGTGTCCAAACACAAAAGATCAAAACACTGATGGCAACAAACACTGCATTATAAAAATAAACCACAGAGGCACGCCCGTGCATGTGGAGTTGGTCCAACAGTCAGTTTAATGTCTCAAAAAACAAGCTGAGACGAGTTGATCGAGTTAACGAGTCAGTGGGCCGCCCGCTCGAGCTGCTGTGCTTCGTTACGCCGAGGCTACAAGGCGGCCCAATCCAGCAAGCGGCTCTGAAGTTTGACAGGAAATGAAGTGAACGTGAGCCGAACATCTGAAACAAGAGTGCAGTTCACTGGTGAGCGTCTTTGATGCAGCATGAAGAAACTCGTCATGCTCCGAGGTACAAAAAGAGAAGAGCTTCTGCTACAGAGGACAAACTTTCACCGTAACAATCCCTTTCAGAACACGTTGGAGTACAGCACGAGTGTTACGCTCCGGTTCAGAGGTAGACCGACAGACTGACTTATTTTTGCTGTTTTAAAACCAAGACTAGATTATAAACCAATTAAAAGACAAAAATATCTGTTGGCAGCGACATTGTTAGACTCGACATCTTGCATTAACAAGGTGTGTGTGTGTGTGGGGGGGGGGGACTTTTACAACAGGGGAGCCTTTTCTTAGCACAACACCAACATTTAGTTTATGATCTTATAACAATCAGTTTCTGTGGAAAATGTGAAGCCTGCGTGTTTGTATTTGGTCAGTTTGAGGGTCCCTCGGGGTACAAGCAGCCAGATGTTTGCAGCTGTGTGAGCTGCAGTTCACGTCACTTCCATGTAAAAAACATGGTGCCTAAACCCGGCAGGCAAAGAAGACTACGAGCAGAAGAAGAAAAACAACACAGATGCTGGTTTTGAGGGCAATACTGTGAGATCTGCTGCTGGAAGCAGAAAACTGAGAAATGTCTCCAACTTCATTTCTTCTTTGTGTCTTTTGAGTGAAACAGTGAGATCACGGCCACGCAGCCGAACCAGAACAAGTATGAAAACAAATCGACATGCTGTGAACACGCCAACAGTGTCTGACACGCTGTGAACACGCCAACAGTGTCCAACACGCTGTGAACATGCTAACAGTGACTGACAC